CCAATCAATAATCTATGAGTTAATTAATATTTCTCTTGTTTAAATGAACTTATTTATGTAAAATGCTAAAGAAAACCAAGCAAAAAGTTTTTAAAGAAATATTACTATCATATCGATTAAATTAAGAAAAGAAAGTGCATCTGTAAAAAATTCATTAAGTATTTCTCATCGAGTTTTTCAATTCAAAATAAAGTAACTTAAGTCAGAGATAAAGAATTACCTTTCTCTGATAACTATTGAACGCTTATAAAATTTTTTTAAACCATAATTTAGCTTAGTTGATTCCTTTTTTGTATGTGTAAACACCAGGAACAAATTCATAAAATTAAATATTTTATTTTTCACATAAAAAGTTTCAAATTAATTAGTATTTTTATTGTTTTTGGTTAGTATATTCACAACTGCTAATGAACTTTTCTTTATTATACCGGGGTTCCGGCAGTGGAAGCTCGATTCTTTAGGGTTCTGTAAGCGGAAAAAATTGCGAACTGCTGCCTTAGAGCATGGCATAAAAACCATTTATTTGGTTAAATTTACTTTTCAGTTTTGTGTTTTTACTAATTGTGCTGTAATAAAAACTATAATTTTGAAAACCAGAATTTCAGGTTAACCGTTACCATAGGAATGGAAACAGGCACCATATGAATTGTTTAAATTCCGTTTATTTTGCTTTTTTTTAACTAGAATAAATGGGGTTTTTTCGTGCATACGCAAAAAGTAAAATTAACACTAGGGGTCCCAAATTTTGGACCACTCTCCTGACCAAACTATGGGGACCATATTTCCCAGATTGGGGCTACTCCCTATATTTTGGGGGTCAAAAATCCGAATCTGTCGAAAAAAAGGTATGTTTATTCAGAGAAAAAACGTTTTGTGTCTGATTTCGAAACTTAAAATATTGTCTGCACTAATTGATTAGCATATTTATATCACCCCTTCGAACCATTAAGATTGAGTGCTTAGAACATGAAGATCCGATCATTAGATCAAAAGTTATTAAGGGTGGTCCGTTTTTTACTTTGCGCTCTGTACAACAAGGACATATCAAAATTTTACACTTCAATTTAGTAACAATTTTGCGCTAAGAAATTTAAAAACGTTTCCCTGTTACTCGATCATATTAATTTTAGCAACAAAGATCTTATTAATTTTAGCAGTTTTGCAATAAACATCGAAATAAACAAGGTTACCATAAAGATACTAGAACCAAATATTTGATGTCTCTAAGCCACTATATTTCCTTTTAAACCCATTAATCACTGCAACCCAACAAATATTAAAATTAATTATTTTAAAAGCACGTACTTAATTAAAATCATGTTTTCAATACTTATTCTGAAATATACATAAATTAATTTGAAAAACAGCCAGCTGAGAATAAAATCAAATGTATTTTATACTTAAAAAAGCAGGTTAAGATCCATTAAATTGATATTTTTCCTCTAGACCTACTAAACTCTTGTGTATTTTATTGAAGACTCAATACATAATGAAGTTACTTTTTAATTATGTTAGCAAGATTTTTCAAAAGACTAGATAAAATAGAAAAATAGATTTTCCTAAGCGAGAAATTTAACGGTGTCACATCTTTTGTTTTTGTAACTGCTTTTAGACCTTATTATTGTTTACTTCTGCTGTCTCTAATGATTCGATTAATACCACTTCACATTATGAACTTTGCTAGTCTTTTGTTTATTATTTATATGAGTTAAGAGTTTTCACCAAGGAATCGAGATTGCTTTGAACAAGTTTTCATTTTTCCATTATGCGTAGGATTTGTTTCGTATATTTATTTCTCTAAAGGTTTAATTTAATAAATTTAGCACTTTTTTGCGAAACTTAGTTTAAAACATATGTCATTTGTAAAACAATTGTTTAAATTTGTTTTTATTTATTAGATCCCATTGTTCTATTTTTAATTTGTTTATGACATTTATAAAATATACGTTGTTAAAAATATTTTATGCGGAATTATGGGGGAGTATGAAAATATTTTTTAAATTGAAAACATTGTTGGAGAGTTTCAAATATTTTTTTGAAGAAGGGAAGATAAATATTTATTCCAGCAAACTTTCTAATTTTAAAGCATAAATGAGTAATTATAATCATAAAAATATTGAAATCAAATGAAGTTTGATTGGATTAGCATGATCAGAATTTATTTTCAGTTAAAGAAATAAGATGGGTCAGTCATAGAAATAGAAATAAGATAATAATTTGTATCTATATATTTGAGTATCTATATATTATAATTAGTATCTATAGATTTGATTATCTATATATTATAATTAGAATCTACATATTGATCTCTGAATTTGTATCTATATATTTGAATAATTCTTTTACAACAATATCATAAAATAAAAATTTGACGAGAAATACAGATTGTGAAGTTGGTTAATGACTAGATGAGACGAGTTGTATTTTTATTTTAGAATTTCTGGAAAATTCTGTAACAGCAAAGATTTTTTTTTCTTTTGAGTAATACAGCTTTTCAACACTTTTGACGTAAACTCTGACAGGAAAAGGAAAACGAAATCCTATTGTTCAGGAAATAGCTCTATTTTTTTATTTGTAACAGCAGAACTTTAAAAGGATTTTTTTTTTCCGATGGAACAATCAAACAACCAAATCTCACTTTAGAATACTCAGTATATATTCTTCTTCACTTTATTCACGGTTATATCGTGTTCTCTAAATTGTTGACAAAAAAATTAAGCTTTGAAATACAATGAAGCTGAGTTTTTGGTGTACGTGTACTATAAATTAATTTTGAGAATAAAAGGAAGATGCAGAACTATCAGTAATTCTTAAAACAAAAAAAAAATTGAGTTGCTGTTTAAGTTTTATCGAAATAAAGGGAAGAGTATTAAGCATATAAGATTTAATAATATAAGATTGTATAAAATTTAATTGCCCTTTTCTTTTTAATCATATATTTTGTTTCTCAAAATATCAAACTTTTAATTTTTCATAATTCCTTAAGCACTTAAATACAGTAAAACAAAAGCAAAAAACGCACTTAATGTTTAATTTCTTTATTATCTCTAATTTCACAATTAGTTCAGAACAGTGAATTTTATTAAATATAAATATGCTTAAAATTTCCTTTAAGAGTTTGATATTTTATGTTTGATACTCCGAAAGAATATGTGATACGCTGTTTTAATTTCTTGACCATGTTGAATCTTCATATCGTTTAATTTTGTATCTAATCATAAAACATTGAATCATAAAACATTGAATCATATCATCCGGCAAATTAATCTTTTTTAAGCTAACGTACGCAATACTATTCCTCCATTTGATTGAAAATGCAGTGAAACTTAAAATCTTACTAAGATTTCCTCAAATTTGCTTTGCATTATAAGTCTCTAAGTCTGTTATGTTTGGTTTTGACCTTTTTTATACCTAGTGCCTCTCGACTGATTATTAATACCTTCTATTCTAATCTGTCTTTCTTTACCTTTATAAAATAAATGTTGTTTACTATTAAATATTATTTGAATTTTTAAAGAAATAAATTTATGATAAATTAACATAAATGTTTTTTATTAAAAAATAAGGACAAGAATATTTTAATTCAAGAACATAAATTAAGATTAAAATTTAGAAGGAAAAGAAATCATGTAGAAAATTACATTTTTAGAAACCTAAGGTTATTCGGGGCTTCCATTACACAAAGCAAAAACTAACAAATAAGAAATATTAGCAATTATTTTCGTATGTATAAGAAACAAAATAACTAAATTAAGTACAAAGCAGGCTTATAGAATAATTTATTTTTTGAAAAATTTACTTGTCGTTGCAATCATTCAAAACCAAAACTAATAACCAATCCTTTATTTATTTTTTTTTCAATTTAACTCTCTTTAAACTACAAATCAATTATGTTTATGCCTCAAATCGATTATTTTCTATCCAAAACAGCTACTTTTTATAGTTGAATGAACTATTCAGTTATGAAAATTTGAGGAGAAACATAAATCACTTTACGTCTAATGGGAAACTGCCTGTTAGGGATTCCGTTCATAACAACGTTTGGAATGCTGAGAGGGAGGGAATGACGATCGACGTCATGATCTGTGTCATCACTTACCCTGTCTATTCGTTTTTCCAGAGGTGTCATCTATCGTGAGCGATAAAAAATACTAGATTTTTCTGTGTTAAGCAGCTCTGTGGTTTCGCCATCTATGCGTGGATGCGTGCTTATCATCCCAATAGTCCAGGATCAAGTAGAACACTTGTAACTCCTCCGGTGTTGAAGGAATGGAGGAAATATTGTGGCGTCAAATTTGGGATTCGAACCCATATTCAGCCTGTAATGAGATTGAAATATTTGACAAACTATAACTTTATGCTAAAGTATGTACTTAGCTGCATGAATGACAAATCAGACCTTTCGGCTGAAATATATACTTAACTGTAAGGAAGTAAGAGGCTTCGTTAGGTATTCACCATACATTTATTACTAGATAATTATTAAGCATCCACTGTTGCATAAGGTATCTGATGATGAAAAATTTAAATATGAATCCTTATCAATTTTCTTAGTTTGATTCTCACTGACTGTGAGCCCAGTTGGTGAAGATAAAATTATGGTTGTTTAACCGTATTAGGTGAAAACAATCGATAAGTGACTTTTCTCCCAGTTAACAGCTTGAATACCACCTTTTTATGGTTATTTGACTGCTTTGGTTGAATATGGTAAAATAACTGTTACATGAATTCTTATTGCAATTTTTCCGTGAAACGTGGACGGATCTGATTTATTTTAACACCTTATTAAGGTTAACATACATTCTGAAATATTACGGTACTAAGTACCGATATTATGTTTTAATATTAAACTGATTTTTCTGAGAGTGTATCTTTCTTCAAAAGTTTACCTTAAATGCTTTGAATTATTCCTTTTTGGTCTTAAAATGTTTCTCATAAACAATGTAATGTTTCTCATAAATAATTTAGCATGTAAAATAATTAAAACATGTTTTTTACAGCCTTAAGTCGATTGAAAGGACGTAAGAGGCTGTGGTTTGTCTTAGATGAAGGAAGGTGTCGTTTATTGTACTACAAAAGTGAGATTGATGCGCGTTCCAAGGATCCACTAGGAGCTATTGAGATTCGAGGTTCCGCTATTTCTCTAGCACTAGAGGAGGATAATCAATTCGTAGTGCAGTAAGTAAAATTTTCAATCTTCTTTTTACAAATAAAATTATCATTTATCAAAATAATTCTATCTTATAATTAAGCATGACTTACTGTTATGGCATATGTTTTGAATTAAATGTTTAAAAGAGGTGCAATTTTGGTGAATTTTATTAAGATTTATATTTAAAGTGGAGCATCGCATTTTCAAAAATGTTGCATCATAAGATTTTAATTAGAATGTTCAATTAGCATAGATTGAAGTGTACAAAATAGTTGTTTTTTCAGTTCCAATGGAAGAGAACATGCTCTTGTTGCGGAAGATCATGAATCCATGATGTTATGGATTCTTGCGTTGCAAGTAAGTTTCTCACTTTTTTTCTTACGTTTGAATTTTATTGTATGATTAAAGCTCTGTAGATTCAGTCACTAGTTAGTTCTAAGTTAGACACTTTAAGAGCAAAATTCTTCAGCTAATAAATAAATTAAGTTTCAGTTAATAAAAAAAACCATTACCTTTTAAGAGTTTATGTTACAGCTTACAATACAGAAAAAAGTGAATTTTTCGTTTTTGAACAAGATTTTCTTATGCATTTAACATATTCTATCTAATCATAATAAGCTTAAAAGTAGTTAAATAATATTTTTATTATATAGCGTTACATACTTCTCGTAATCAAGAATGAATGTTTGTTATTTTTTATAACTGTCGTTGATTAGGCGATCCAATTCTTGGCTTACGACAACTGATGTTCAATTTCACTGCCTTGTTATTTTGAACCCAATCCAGAAGATTAGGGAAGGAACTCCTGGATCAGGTATTGGGAGAAATTTGCCTTCGTGGTGGGTTTTTTGATTGAATAACCCACATTTGTATTACATGGAGAGGAAAATCACGAAAAACCTCCTGCGGTTAGCCTAACGGCAAGGGGACTCTAACCTATGATCCGTCTACCACTGAGAATATTTCACGTCAACAATGTGGTCGGTGCAAGCCGGATGCGAAATTCGTATCAACCAGTCATCGCTGGGATTCGAACCCGGTTTACCTCATTAGAAGGCGAACGCTCTATCCCCAAACAGGATTCGGAATTGGTTTGTAATACATACACACTGGGGTCCACTGCACTCCCTACGGCGCAAAAAATTGCAAGTAGTAGCAAATATTTCTTAAGATTTAATCTGCTTTTTTTTAAACCTGAAAATTTTAATATTTTTGAAGAAAAAAAGCATTTTTTACACATAATTTAAAAGAGAAAAAATAAGTTCATCTAAGAAATTTTGATAGGTTTGAATTTGTCTTTAAAAACTAAAACGTATATTTGAATATTATACAGGTTTGTAATGTGAGTTTATTTTGCTTATTAAAACTGTTGCTACAATTCTGAGCATTAATTGCATATGATACTTCTAAACCAATTTCTAGATAAGATTAAATTAAAAATAATAATTGTCTAAATACAATTTCGTGGAAAGAAACGTTTTTACGTTATTTTCTATTTCATAACATGCTGGATCTTAATTGATCCTGGTTCCTGAACATTTTTTAATTTTTATGGACACTGAATAATGGCCCTTTTATTATGGACACTGAAAAGAGTCCAAATATGGTCACTGAAATAAATCAGCTGTTAAATCAAAACCAGCTTCTAATTCAAAACCAACACTTAAGCCTCAATCCATGAGAAAAGTAATAACAACTGTTGCAGCTCAACCGTCCCGCAGTGGTCTATACAGTTCAATAGAGTACTTGTATTGTGTACTGTATCATTAAGAAAAACAGTTAGACGCGATATGCTGCAATAAGTACCATATTTGGGTGATTGAATACAGATTTGGTCATAGAAGAAAGGAAAGCAATAATACTATTGTTTGTCGATCTTGTATATAGAATATGAATCAGATTCAATTCTAAATAGATAGCACAACAGACTGAAATAGAGTTAAATTACCCTCATTAAAATTTTACGTTCATTCAAGGATTTGTTCACATAATTTTAAAGAGGAACCCCAACTATCTTCAAGGGCTCCCAGCATAGGCACTGTCCATTATTGCAACTATTATTACAAATATCAGAAGTTCAATTTCAATTTTTTTCCTGTTATCCTCATACCTATAAAAATTCCTCATTCATTTGTATCTGCAGAATAAAAATTAGAGTAATGAAAATGCTTATATTTGGGTCACTTACTTATGAAAAGTAATAGCAGGATAATAATAGGAAATAGCAAATTCTCCATAGCTGATTTTATGACTTAATTACTATATGTTAACATATTGCAACAGCTAAAGTAACTCAAATAAAATGAAAGTATACTAAATCCAGTAAAAATTGATCTATTTTGTTTCTTATAACTACTTCATAGAACAGAACAGAGCACGAAATTTCTATAAATCTAAAATAGGTGGTGTTGAATATCAACATCCTATACAGGTTCTATCCTTCATAGAAATTCAGATTAAAAGCATTACATGGAAGTAAAGAGTGCAAAGTATTCTATGCATGCACTTTTCTATCAAAATGTGTAAAATTTTCAAATAATTTAACTATATCTAAAGAAAAATCAGTGATACATCAAAATTAATCAATTAGAGATACTACTTCGAAATATCTCGACACACGATTTTTAACTTTGCATTGAAATGAATAATTCAATTAAAAAATAATTTTATTACTTTTATAATAAATTATAATAAAAACGAAAACCTGTTTTTTACTTCTATTAGTTGCTATTCATCTCGAATCAAAGACCTCATTCGAATATAGAAGAATACTTAATCAATAATATATACTTGGTCCTATTCTTAAATCCTCTCAAAATTCAAAAAACTCATCTAAAATTTATCAAACTTTTGTTTTAGCCTATAAATATTTTCATTCCTAAATTATTTTTATATTTATTTTTTATTTACTGGATTTTTTTGGATAAATAAAAATGCATGAAAAAATGTTTCTTTCTATTTTTTATAGATTTTAGAATTTTTATTAAATTGCTTTTTCTTAATTTTAAAAATACATACTAAGTTGTTTCCTACATACAGCATTAAAATAATTTTCACCAAATATAAAACTAAATGTTATCATTTAATTTGATATATAAAGATATTAATCTACTCTCCTAGACAACTTAAGCCTATTTCTTGGAATGTCTATTAAAAATAACTCAATAAATCTTTTACCCCGGTACTCATAACTTGTCAAATTGTGTTTCTCTGAGAAAAGTTGATGTGATCAATCGGCTTAGTTAAAAGTTTTTCCAGCAACCAGACCGTACCTTGAAGAAATATTTATCTACTTGTTTTAGGCTAGACAAGATAAAGAAATAGTTGAACCTTCTATGGAAGCAAATGGACCATCCAGGAAAAAGAAATTGCAACAAACATCTTCAGGCGATGCTCAGCCGAATTTACAACAAGTTTGTGCAATATTTTTTCTTAACTTAATAACTTAATTATTTTAATCTTGCATTTACTCATAAATTTCATTAATAAGTAGATTTTACAACTGAAATAACTTCATTGAAAATATTTCCGGCAGTAGCCGGGATAAGAAACTGAATAAATTTAATGTATTCTGAAATGTGATGTAGATTTCTAATAAAGAAGTTAGTGTATTTGAGAGTAAGTTAGACGCATATATAGCATCAATGGTTCAAACATTAGCTCTAACAGATTCCTAACAATCGAATGTTTAGTAAACCTAAGAAATTCTCTGATTTTGAATCCAAGTAAGTATCTTAGTACCTTTCCAACTTAAGTAATTCCCTGATTTTTACTTTTAATTGTCCAAACAACACACCACTAAAATCCTAATTCTAGTCAAATAAATGCACAATTTACACTTTCTTTTCTCCCAAGAAAGGTGAAATTATGTGTACAATAACTGCTACGAGGCTGTTTTCAAAAAGTTCATTGACAAATTTTAAATTGGTCTAGTTTGAAAGCTTTGCTTCCTATCATTTTTATATATTTTAATAAAAACATAGTAAGAGTATAGAAAATACAGAAATACTTGTTTTTTAATTGTTTTGAATGATTGCTTGTAGCATAAATTTGTTTTTTGTTTAATTATCAAAGATAAATATACTTAAGTAACGTTTAATCTTACAAATATGTTTCAAATGAATACATAGATGTTTTTCATGAAGCAACAATGCATTTAATTGCTTTTAGCAGGTTGCAGCTTCTGTTAAAAGCAAAGTGCTTCAAAGAACCCACTCCCTTCAGCTGAATTCTGAAAAAAGACATGATGCTTTGAAACGAATGCATAGCCTGTGGGCAACAACAAGCAAAGAGCCAGATATAATTCAAAATGGAAAAGGTAATTAATGTCGTTGTATCAAAAATGTTAAAAGAAATACCTGATAAAAAGAAATAATTTCATGGCATTTACCAACTTTGAATAACCTGAAGTCGTATTTTTTACCGGTAACGTGGGAAAAAAATAAGTGGTGAAAAAAACAGTCGAACACTTTATTATTTCCCCTTTTTTTTAATTTAAAAGAAGTACTTTTCTGAGTTTTCGGTCACTTTTGCCATATTAAAATTATGCAATTACCCGCTTCAAAGAATGACTAATTATAAGATTACCGGCTTCAAAAATTGAGTAATGTCGGAATAACTCGCTTTAATGATTGTTTTTAAATGCAAGAAAAGTAATAGCATAGAAATAGCTAAATTGCTATAAAATAACATATAGCAATATGGCTCCTCCAAGACCCTTAAGTACTTAATATCTCAACCATCAATTCCAATTTATAATATTTTTCAACTGCTTAATTACTGAGCTTTAAATTTTTTCATTAACTTCGTATTATTTTATTTTAAATTTTAAACTACATTTTCGTAGTTAAAATGTAATTTATAAGGTCCTGATTCTTATATCATCATAATTTATTTTACTTAATTACTGGTGGAGTCAATCAGCTACCCTTAATTTTAAGGTATCTGATTCCTAAATCAAACCAAGAAGTCATACAATCCTTAAAATGTTCACACTTTTTAAGAATGTAAATTTTCAAAGTCTGCTCATCAAGTCATTTGTTTTTACATGTATAGTATATTTTAATAAAAACTTACCTAAATAATTACGAAACAAAAATTTTTAAAGTATTATTTGCTAAACATCAAAGACAACTTTACGAATATATAAACCATCTTAGCGTTTTTAATACTAATTAAAAATTATTAATAAGAATAATTTCCAGCGATTAAGCATTAAAACGCTAAATTCTCTAATTGCTATCAGAAGATCAAAACCTTTTCTATACATTGTTTAACCAAGCAAATACACGAAATCATTTTTCAAGTATTTATTCACGTGCTTATCCTTTTGTCTACTTTTTTCAGTTAAAATCATATACAAATGCTTGTTTTTCTGTGATGTGCTCTTAATTGCCTGATATTGTATTTCGTATAAAAAATGCCAAACAAAACAGATCACTGCATTTCTAGTACAGGAAAGAGATTACAATAAGATATTTATTTTCATTTGCGATGTTTTTGTATGATGAACATTAAATACAGGAATATTTATTTATTAAACACAATCATATTAGTTTGCTATAAAAACCAGCTTGATCTTTGTATAAACGTTCACATAAAAGTGAGAATCTAACTTAATCGAAATTTTCAAACATCGTAAACACATTCTTTCATTCTAGCATGCACTTGACACGTATACATTTCATTTTAGTTATTACCAAATCGAACTGTTGTGTAATACGTAAACATATACGTTGTCGACAACAGGAAAATGTATGTTGTGTGATCAGTAAACTGCAGTTGAAGCTATTTTGCTTCAATATATCGTTCTTTTAATGCTTTAATAAAACAGTTTCACTAGAACAAAATATTCTATACGAAACTATAACTTGTTTATTGGAGAGTATACTTTAAAACTACAAAGTGTTCTGTAATGACTGCCCATAAGATATATATATTCTTTAATCGTTGTCAAAAATGAAGCTAAGGAAGTATTCCCAATACTTTTCACAAATCAATGTTTTCGAGGGAGAAACAATATTCATCTCAGTTTTTCCCTTCAATTAAAAAATTTCAATTCCGTCTTTCTCGTTAGTGATTGATAGGGTTCCAATAGACTTTATGTTTTATCCCCGTTTAAATATTAATTTAAGATACCTAATGTGTTTACTTCCTTGTATCCTTTTTGACAAGAATTCTAGAAATACATTTAAAAGCTGATCATTACTAAAAACCTTGCAGATGAGTTTTCTAAATTTTATCAACATTTTTTTATAATGCTCTACAGATGCGATTAGAATTAATACAGATATCATTCCCAGCACTTTTAGACACAGAGAAAAAAATTCTGGTAAAATTACCCTGGTAATGACATTTGCATGGTAATGACAATGCATGGTAATAACATTCCTAATGATAAAAACAAAATATATTGTATTTAAATCATTCATTTGGCAATTGTTCCTTTCATATAGTAAAAACGGAAATTCTGGTTTTCAAAATTATAATTCATATCACCCCACATTTAGTAAAAAATACAAAACTGAAAAGTAAATTTATTCGAATTAATGGCTTTATTCCATGCTCTGAAGTATCAATGAAATTACCAAATTTAATCCCATTTACCAAATTTTTTGATACCTGCCTAATTTTATAACATATTTTCAAGCCATATTTTATTATTAACTTTACCGAATCATTAACAAAACACTTCGTTAAAAATTACCAAGCTTTTTGGTTTTCCCATAGAGTCAGAAACACGGCAAATTTTATCGTTTTCTGATAATTTTGACGTTACTTTTTTCTCTCAGTGTAAGTTTGAAGGGACAACAGACATTTTCACACTCATGAAAGGTACACATTTTTTATATGCAGGGGATGTGTATTGTACATTCAAAATACTTATGTATGCAAGATTTTCTTTTAGTTTACTTTTAGCTGCTTCCATTTAAAACAAATTAAATAAAATAATAATGAAAATTATTCTTAACTAAGTTTTAAGACAATTGCATGATTTGATAATTTAAGTAATTAAATCACTACTTTTTTTTCCTTATGTAAAAAATTTCCTTTGTAAGATTTTTATATAATAGGCTATAAGAGAAAAGCAAAATCTATAAAAAATTCTTTATCAAATAAAAAAATGATCTTATCAATTTGTAATCATGTCCTGTTATTTTGACAGTCAGCTTCCAGCTGTATACTAAAAAAAAATTAACTTTTAGTCACATATGAATGTTAGTGATTCGTGAATTGTGTGCGTGATCCATTTACCTTTCAATGACGTCAATCAAATAAACGAAAACTACCACGTTGAACATGTATTTTCAAGCGCGCGTGTTTTCCTCGGTGATTCTTGATATAACACTTTTTCAGTAAGTATCCATATTTTTTAATCTGACATTTCGCTTACTATAAACTAAGAATTTTATGTCACAAATGTAGTATGCATATGTCATTGTACTTAATATGTTTATCGAAATAACTTGGATTGGTTTTGTTAGTTAAGTTCTCCATCATTAACATAAGAATAAACATTGTTTATCATTATTATTCATCTTCCAATTTACCATCAGCAAATTAAATGGATAGCTCACTAATTATTTTTCAATTATTTTTCGATTTCACATTTTTTTAAGTATGATGAGTTATCCTAAAATCGAATTTTTCTTTTTTAAATCTTTTTAAAGATTATAATGTATTAAAGAATGCGCTTGTTAAAATTATTTTAAGAAAATCTTATTTTTGGAATCAATCTTATTTTTAAATATACAATTTTTTTCATGATATTATGAATTTTCCATCTCATGTAGTTTTAGTTTGAATTAATCGAATTCAACAATCTAATTTTTTTTAAATTGTTTACTTTTTAAAACATTTTTACTTTTCAAAACGTTTTTATTTTCAAACANGCACATTTTTTTTTTAAAACTTGGCAATTGTATCTGGGAAACAACAGAAGTCAAAAGAGCTAGGAAGGAAAAAATATCAGTAGAAAGAACCTATTCAGTACCATCACAGGGGATATTGATAACAACCTTTGATGTTATATATCAACGTTATCATTGTCAAAGTTCAAAGGACAAGAAAAAGTGTAATTTAACCTAAAAGCAATAATCTTATCAGTAAAAATGTCTTCTTCATTGCTTGATATTTCAGAGGAAAGTGCAATGTTGACCACAGTTCAAAAATGACTTTCGGAAAAGTGAATCACATACGCGATTCATCCATCAAACTGTCATGACCCACCTGGACCTCCTAGACCGATAATCACCCCTTTTAACCACAAATTGAAGTGGAAAGAGGAAAGCATACCTTTTGTCCGACCCTCGACACTTTTCGTGGCATCTTTCTAAAATGTGTCTGCCGCTTGTAGTAAGAAACTAAGAGAGAGGGGAAACGCCAGGAGGGTTAATATGTTTATCGAAATTACTTGGATTGGTTTTGTTAGTTAAGTTCTCCATCATTAACATAAGAATAAACTTTGTTTATCATTATTATTCATCTTCCAATTTACCATCAGCAAATTAAATGGATTGCTCATTAATAATTTTTTAATTATTTTTCGATTTCACATTTTTTTTAAATATTATGAGTTATACAAAAATCGAAATTTTTTTTTTTTTAAATCTTTTTAAAGATTATAATGTATTAAAGAATGCGTTTGTTAAAATTATTTTAAGAAAATCTTATTTTTGGAATCAATCTTATTTTTAAGTATGCAATTTTTTTCATGATATTATGAATTTTCTATCTCATGTAGTTTGAGTTTGAATTAATCGAATTCAACAATCTAATTTTTTAAAATTTTTTACTTTTTAAAACATTTTTACTTTTCAAAACATTTTTATTTTGAAACATCTGTCATTTTTGCAATTTTTCAAAATTAAAAAGAATATCTTGTGTTAAATGAGACTTTTTTTATTTTATAAATTTTTCATAAGTAAGATCCCATGTTTTATCATCTGCTGGAAGATGATACACCTCATAGCGTCATTAAACTTAAAATACTTTTACAGAAAAATTCAGAAATATACTTCAAATATTATTATAAAATCGTATCTAAAGACTACATATTTATTTTATAATTTCATAACCGGCGCTGAATAGCTGACCTAATTTTGAGTTAAGACTTTCAATGTACAAGTAACTTTAAACCCAACCCACAAGACGAGGAAACTCCTAGATCAAGCAATGGCTCACAGTAGCCTTCGTGGAGAACTTTTTGATGGAACTAACCCACACTTGCATTACATGGAGAGAGAAACTGCGAATTCCTCTCATGGTTAGCCCAATGGCAAAGGGATAATTTACTAAATATATTAAAAATAACATATT